ACTATTCAATAACCTTTATAAAGAGAGAATATTTATATTTTATGCATGTAAGTTTAATATTGTAGACATTGTACGTCATCTTGTGATTGATAAACACTGTGATGTTAATGCTAAAGGGAGGAATGGCTTAACTCCATTACACATGGCATGTTTAAATCGTAATTTTGAAGCTGTTCAATTTCTTACCAATTCCACTGAATGCAATATAGAAGCTGAAGGTAATGATCAAGATAGACCACTCCATTTAGCATGTAAATCAGGAAACGTAGACATTGTACGTCATCTTGTGATTGATAAACACTGTGATGTTAATGCTAAAGGGAGGAATGGCTTAACTCCATTACACAGGGCATGTTTAAATCGTAATTTTGAAACTGTTCAATTTCTTACTAGTTACACTGAATGCAATATAGAAGCTGAAGGTAATGATCAAGATAGACCACTCCATTTAGCATGTAAATCAGGAAACGTAGACATTGTGCGTCATCTTGTGATTGATGAACACTGTGATGTTAATGCTAAAGGGAGGAATGGCTTAACTCCATTACACAGGGCATGTTTAAATCGTAATTTTGAAACTGTTCAATTTCTTACCAGTTCCACTGAATGCAATATAGAAGCTGAAGATAATGTTCAACATAGACCACTCCATTTAGCATGTGGATCAGGAAATTTAGACATTGTACGTCATCTTGTGATTGATAAACACTGTGATGTTAATGCTAAAGGGAGGAATGGCTTAACTCCATTACACATGGCATGTTTAAATCGTAATTTTGAAGCTGTTCAATTTCTTACCAATTCCACTGAATGCAATATAGAAGCTGAAGGTAATGATCAAGATAGACCACTCCATTTAGCATGTGAATCAGGAAATGTAGACATTGTACGTCATCTTGTGATTGATAAACACTGTGATGTTAATGCTAAGCGGAAAGATGGCTTAACTCCATTACACATGGCATGTTTAAATCGTAATTTTGAAACTGTTCAATTTCTTACCAATTCCACTGAATGCAATAAAGAAGCAGAAGATAATGATCAAGATAGACCACTCCATTTAGCATGTGAATCAGGAAATGTAGACATTGTACGTCATCTTGTGATTGATAAACACTGTGATGTTAATGCTAAAGGGAGTAATGGCTTAACTCCATTACACATGGCATGTTTAAATCGTAATTTTGAAACTGTTCAATTTCTTACCAGTTCCACTGAATGCAATATAGAAGCTGAAGATAATGATCAACATAGACCACTCCATTTAGCATGTCGATCAGGGAATGTAGACATTGTACGTCATCTTGTGATTGATAAACACTGTGATGTTAATGCTAAAGGGAGGGATGGCTTAACTCCATTACACATGGCATGTTTAAATCGTAATTTTGAAACTGTTCAATTCCTTACCAGTTCCACTGAATGCAATATAGAAGCAGAAGATAATGCTCAAGATAGACCACTTCATTTAGCATGTGGATCAGGGAATGTAGACATTGTACGTCATCTTGTGATTAATAAACACTGTGATGTTAATGCTAAAGGGAGGGATGGCTTAACTCCATTACACATAGCATGTTTAAGTTGTAATTTTGAAACTGTTCAATTCCTTACCAGTTCCACTGAATGCAATATAGAAGCTGAAGATAATGATCAAGATAGACCACTCCATTTAGCATGTGGATCAGGAAACGTAGACATTGTACGTCATCTTGTGATTGATAAACACTGTGATGTTAATGCTAAAGGGAGGGATGGCTTAACTCCATTACACATGGCATGTTTAAGTTGTAATTTTGAAACTGTTCAATTCCTTACCAGTTCCACTGAATGCAATATAGAAGCTGAAGGTAATTATCAAGATAGACCACTCCATTTAGCATGTAAATCAGGAAACGTAGACATTGTACGTCATCTTGTGATTGATAAACACTGTGATGTTAATGCTAAAGGGAGGAATGGCTTAACTCCATTACATGTGGCATGTTTAAATCGTAATTTTGAAACTGTTCAATTTCTTACCAGTTCCACTGAATGCAATATAGAAGCTGAAGATAATGATCAACATAGACCACTCCATTTAGCATGTGGATCAGGAAACGTAGACATTGTACGTCATCTTGTGATTGATAAAAACTGTGATGTTAATGCTAAAGGGAGGGATGGCTTAACTCCATTACACATGGTATGTTTAAATCGTAATTTTGAAACTGTTCAATTCCTTACCAGTTCCACTGAATGCAATATAGAAGCTGAAGGTAATGATCAAGATAGACCACTCCATTTAGCATGTCAATCAAGGAATTTAGACATTGTACGTCATCTTGTGATTGATAAAGGCTGTGATACTAATGCTAAAGGGAGGAATGGCTATACACCATTACATTATGCATGTGAAAAGGGCCACTTTGAAATGGTTAAAATTCTGACTAATCATCCACAATGTAATACTGAAGCTGAGAACAGTTTTAATGACAGACCACTGCACAAAGCATATTATGAATCTGGAAATTTTGACATTGTACGTCATCTTGTGATTGACAAACACTGTGATGTTAATGCTAAAGGGAGGTTTGACTATACACCATTACATTATGCATGTAAAAAGGGTCACTTTGAAATTGTTAAGATTCTGACTAATCATCCACAATGTAACATTGAAGCTGAAGATGAGAATAATGATAGGCCAATACATCTAGCATTAAGTGGTAAAACTCATATGAACATCGTAAATTATCTTGTTGAAGTTAAAGGTTGCAATACTCAGGGGATAACCACTTATGATATGAAAGTTAGTAGTTATCTTCATATTTATCAATCTAGTGGTATAGCATTATTACGTGTTGTTAAGTGTATATG